AAGAAAATTGGGGTGGGGGGCGGGGTTTATATTTTAACTGTTTGTTCATGGGAGTTCTGTATGTAATAATGAAACATGTGACACGATTCTAGTCATCAAAATAAGGCTGAATTTCCTTTTCGTCTCTCCTCAGGTCTTGGCCCAGAATCTGTACCAACGACCCTCCGGTAAGTTAGGATCTGTAGTGCGTGCAGGTAGGCCTACAAATCGTAATATTTCAATAAAAGCAGGTAGGCCTACAAATCGTAATATTTCAATAAAAGCGTAATGTCACTACAACTACACTAAGGCTTGGAGAAGATGGATAATAATAAATCGATGGTTTAGAGTGACTTAAAACAAAATCTGAACTCCCAGGATACCAGCCCGGCCCGTATGGCAGCTATCTCAGGGGACACCGACTCCGACGACCGCATTCAGGATATAGGCCAGTGTACTCGGTTCCTTTCCCCGGCGCGCAGTACAACAACGACTGCGGGAACCAGCTGCTGACATGCGTGGAGGAGGAAGACTGCAGCAAAAAGGTGCACGCGAATGGTAAGGAGGATTCTTGGGGGTATTTTGAGGGCATTATTGAACCTAGAAGGTAGGTGGAGCGCGATGTTGAAGGGAAAATGGAATGTCGAGATTAGAGATCCGTGGTGAAGCAGTTGAGAAAATGGACTCTCTTTTGGCCGTGTAGTTGACTGACACGGTGATAAAGTATGGATGAGACCGAATGACGCTAAAATAGATGGCAATGGCATGTTTCGATGTCTACTTTCACTGGAGTTCTACATTCAAGCGTTATTACTAATCATATCGGTAGAGGTTTGAGGAATCGTTTTATCTTTTAATTTTTCTGAACCGACTCCGCCGCGACCTTAGTTGATTTGAAGCTGGCGCGGTGAAAATGGTCTTCGTCGGTATGTACGAAGCCCCTTTAGTCGTATAAACAATTTTTACAAAGTTAATGGAAGCGTCATGCATAGATGCAGAACCTGTCACTTGCCATTTTTAAATCCTAGGGCGCAGTGGGTTCAATTGCGCATAAATGTCAAGGCAACGTAGATAAAGTATTGTAAAAAGTATCAAGTTCGTGTGTACTATTATCAACATCTCTGCTTCATCTTTGAACCGATTTCTTGCCACACATAACCGACTTGATAGGATTCACTTTTTAGTTTAAACTTTGATATATATCAAACCGTATTACCTAAATCCTAATTCTTGTTCTTGCATTCTTCCCTCTTAAATAACCAACATTCTTTCCAGGGCAAACGGATGGGCAGATTTGCCCCCCTTTCTTCATGTATGAAAAGAAGCTTGGATACTGTGCTACCGTTGAGTTTGAACAGAAGAACAACCTAGACGCGATGCAGGCGTGTGAGAGCCAAAACGCCAGGCTCTTGTTCTTCGAAAATTCTGCGGTGAGGATGCGATTAGCCTTTTTTTCGCTGATTTTGTATTGTATTTTCCTAAATGTTAAATGGGCTCCAAGGAATTGCTGAAGTAGGGAACGCAGGGATAAGATTTAGGAATAGCTGAATCTTGGTTGTGGTTTAGGTATTTTTTTTTTTTATCAAGACGTGAGGTCTTAGTGTAAAACCTTATGTCTAAGCATTTGCATATGCTTTACAATATAAAATACTCTGAAGATCGCTCCTCTCTTTTTTAGTTTCAATAATAGTTTCCGAAAATCAACGGGTGGATTACATAAGAATGAAACGAATACACTTAGTCTACAGGGACTAATCCCCACCCCTATTAAAACAGGAATTCAAGCAGATCGCCGAAATGAAGAAAAAGAACGAGACCTTCTTCTTTGGTGAGAAAACTTACTGGCTGGATGCTTACTACGACGACAAGAGCGAGACGTGGATCAGGAGGACCACCAGGGAGCCTATCATTTGGGAACAGTGAGTTGAGGGGGTTTGTGAGAGTGAAGGGGGTTTGTGCAGGTACGAGGGGGATTTGGATGGGTGTTCGTTGGATGCAAAAGGGGGTGCATTATTAGAGTATTCCTCTTATGACGTGATATCATTTACGTCGGTCCTTTAATCCCTTTTGCAGAGAATAAATGTGTAATGGAGTGTATAGGATATTGGTTTTCGTTTCGGTATCCTTAACATTGTGTGCATTGTCAGAGCAACGAATACAAACAAGTGCATAAAAAGTGTTTAGTTTTGGTAAGGCTCTTCAGGGGAAAAAACGACTGAATCCTCCTCTCCATTCCCTTTCTACTAAAGTCGTCTTCTAAAAGTCCTATAATCTTAAACGAATCCAATCCTTCCTCTCCTGTAGGATCTTCTCGCAATTTACCCCGATCGTAAACACGACGACCAACCTCGAAGTCGTTCGGCATATCAACACGACGCAGCGCTGTCTGACGGTCATCTACAACTCGACGCATCCAGAGCTCCTGCAGGTTGAGAAGGCCAAGTGTTCAGAAAATAAGGAGATTGCATGCAAGCTAGGTACGGCGTGGAAGGGTTGGGTGGCGAAGGCTGGAAGAGATCCTGCAGCCTTCCTTAGTTATCAGGGGGGGATCTAAAACCTTTGTTCTTTTTTGATTGAATTTTGTTGCTGCGATTGTCAGTTGGGGACTATTCCAGCTCGGGGAAGGGCGGGGAGGTTGAAAAACTAAATCATAATTTGATGGCTTTTGCCTACATATTAGATTAGGCTAGCATTGTAAGAAACTAGTAGGTTGTACAATGTTGTTAGACTATTCAGGAATTTTCCAAATTCGCAACCAAAAGATTTTCATGTATATATATTTTTTGTGGCTCTACTCCCCCCAGGGTTTTATACGAACAAATGCCGAGATAACAAAAACCATGTGTGCTGCTTTTCTACCACTTCGGACTACTACTTAAAGAACACATTGACAGGTAATTGTGTAATGATTATAATAAAACCATTTATTTCTTTAATAGCTAATTGGAAACAGGTTTTATGTGCAATCCTTCATGAAACCGATTCATTTGCCCAGTTTTTCAAGGGATTAGGGAGTTGCAATAAGCTCTATCAAATGGAATTAAATTTGGAATGAATTGTTCTCTTCGAAATGAAACCCGCAGGTACCGGCAGCACCATTGGAGAAGCAGATTCAAATTGTTTCTTGGAGATTATAAAAGGAGGGAAGCCTGTCGTGGAGCCCTGTGATAAAGGTTTGATTTTCTTTGTTACTGTTTAGTCCAGTTTATAACTCTTGATTTGTGATTCTTGCTGCTTTCTCCAACCATTTCAATCCCTTTTTTCTTGTCCTTGAAATATTCAGGATTTTTCTTCATTACACCCTTTTTTCAATTGATACGCACCCTCCCTTCCACCCCTCCCTCGTGCTTTTGCCTTTAGAATACGTGTGCACGCCCTCCCTCCCTGCCCCACCCACCCCTCCTGCTTTTGCCTTTATAATACGCTTCCCTGCCTTCCAGTGCTAGCCACCCTGGAGCCCTCCACGGTCAATAACACGGAGCTGAGAATCCCCTACCGCATTGGATCGTCCTTCTTCTACTTGGACAACACGACGTGTCTGGGGAAGGCCGACCGGAAGGCTGTCGTGTCCGACAGGAAAGTCCACAACTTCATCTCTCGCTACCTGGTCATGGCCAACCTCGTGAAGAACTTGACTTACGACTCTTTCATCATCGGACTCCAGTACAAGGGCCACGTCCACAAGCTCATCTGGCAGAATGGTAGGGAGAATTGAGGTTTTTGAAGACGGTAACGGGATCATTTTTTACTCTTTGTGAAAGTTAAAGGGTGGGGAGAGGGAGAGGGGAAGGGGTGTAGGAGTTGCTCTTAAAACTTGGGTCCGTATGCTTTAGAGATTGTGTTAACGCAAGTCGGTGCTAAACCCAATTTTCTTTTGTTAGAATCATCGTGATTGTAGGGTTTTAAACGTAATTTTAGGACCGAATCTTATTCTTATTCTCTTATTTTGGTATACCATTTGATTTTTTGCTGTATTCCTTAGTAGAGGATTTTGTGCTTCAAAGAGTGGATTCCACAATTTCTTTAAGGATACGGCCGTTATTTAGGAAGCTTTTAAGATTCTCAACAGTCTGCAAGAATGATTACAGTAAATACATCGGCAAAGCTTTTTCATAGAATTTGTGATAATACATTTTTTTAAACCTCTTCAACCTCGTTTTATATTCGTCTTAAAAGCAAATAAAATGTCTGTATATACGAGTATGGGCATTCAGAACCCCGAAATACGTATTTTGTTAATCTACTCATCTAAAAACTAAGTATCGATATGTTTACGTAAACAACTTTTTCAAGGTTGTAGTGCGCTAACGGACAAGTTATTTTTTATCTGACAATTTAATTTTTTTTTTCTCAGTTGGTCTGGGAACACGTTTTGAACACGCAAACCTTCATAGTATATGGCTGTGGATTATTTAACATGCATATACAGAAATATGTGCATATCTATCAGATATCTACCATATAGGTTGATATACGAATGCATATATGTATTTCAGTATATATGCATGTCCGTGTATGTTCACCATAGATACATATAGAACACTATTCTATCCTCTCGTAAATGATTCAATATTTGATTAATTGCGATTTTTTTTAAAATCCAGAATTGTCTCCGCTCTCCCCCCCCCCCCCGACAAAAGAAAGAAAGAAAGAAAGAAAGAAAGAAAAAAATATATATATATCCACAGGTAGGCCGTACGATTACTACAACGAGACCTTCTGGAACGGCTACCAACCCAACTTTGACAAGTTCGGCGACAGCCATAAGCCAGTGTGCGGCCACTACGTCGTGTCGCCAATTGACTACCAGTACAAGTGGGAGCTGAAGGGCAACTGTTCAGCGTCTGCCACGGAACCCGCGATCTGTGAGCTACCCATGTGAGCAATGAGTGATTATAATTATTTTATTTATTTTTTTTTTTTATCCGTCTCCAGTGATTATTAGCTTTTTCCCTTCCATTATCCATTTTTGTCGCTTCTGTATGGTGTTTTTATTCTCTTAATTTTCCCTGTTTTATTTTTTTTTTCAACTCTGTCGCATTCCTCCACTCCCATGTTTCTGCATTCGCTTTTTTATTCCTTCCTGCCGTCATTTATCACCCATGTCCGTCGTAACTTCTCCCACTCCATCCCACCTACATGTCACCTTCCTGTATACGTGTCATCTTCCCCCCCCCCCCCCACCCAGCCGTTTCCTTCCTGCATCCGTCTCTTCTTTCCTTCCTTCCTGCATGTCTTCCTCCCCCCTCCCCCCTCCAGCCGTTTCCTTCCTGCATCCGTCTTCTTCTCCCCTCCCCCCCCCCACCCCTCCAGCCGTTTCCTTCCTAGTGTCTCTTTCCCCCCTTCCCCCCCCAGCCGTTCCTTCCTGCATCCGTCTCTTTCCCCCTCCCCCCCCCTCCAGCCGTTCCTTCCTGCATCCGTCTTCTTTCCCCCCCCCCCCCCACCCCTCCAGCCGTTTCCTTCCTGCATCCTGTGCCGTTTCCTTCCCTCGTGTCCCCCCCCACCCCCCACCCCTCCAGCCGTTTCCTTCCTGCATCCGTGTCTTTCCCCCCCACCCCCACCCCTCCAGCCGTTTCCTTCCTGCATCCGTGTCTCTTTCCCCCCCACCCCCCACCCCTCCAGCCGTTTCCTTCCCCGTGTCTCTTCCCCCCCCCCCCCTCCAGCCGTTTCCTTCCTCATCCGTGTCTCTTTCCCCCCCCCCACCCCTCCAGCCGTTTCCTTCCTGCATCCGTGTCTCTGCCGTTTCCTTCCTGCATCCGTGTCTCCCCCCCCCCCCCCAGCCGTTTCCTTCCTACATCCGTGTCTCTTTCCCCCCTTCCCCCCTCCAGCCGTTTCCTTCCTACATCCGTGTCTCTTTCCCCCAGACGTTTCACCGACCTCATGCCGACGACGAAGAAGGTGACCTGCGGGATGCGACACCGGCGGGGCGTGTTGGCTCGTTCTGCCTACGCCATTGGCCACGAACTGCAGGCGCTCTACGGTGAATTCCCATGGCAGGTGAGGCGAGAGTTTATTTTAAAGGAGGCACAGCTGCCCAGAAAACTTAAGTTGGGGGAGGGGGGGGGCGTCGAAGCATTCAATATTAAACGGGACCTTTTGTTACGAAGGGTATTTTGGGATTTGGAATTTGTCTGGTTCTAATTCATGTCTAAAATGGTCGTTGCGGATTTAGATTTTATCCATAAGGGATGGAATATGCCTTGCGGTATTCAGATAATCCACACATACCCTTAGTTAGAAAATTAGGGATACCAGTAGTTTCGTAGTTAACAATTATTTGAAAAAGAATCTTTGCTAGTCATTGTTTTGCATGATTTTCTAACGATGTATTTTTTTTCCTTTTATCTTTACTTGGACTTTTTGCTTGTCAGTCCGTCATGAAAGGTATGCCTTTTTTTCTCAGCAAGATTTGTGTTGGACGGTTTTAGTTTCAAACGGTCGTCGGGAATTTTGGTCATGTCCAGCATCGTTGAGGTTCATTCCGATAAGGCCACGTTCATTTACTGCAAATTTTCTTCATCTTTGATCGCTAGGTCTGTTAGATTTTTATTTCTAGTATTTTTGAGAAGCCTATACCCCCCTCCCCCCACCCCCCATGGCTGGTGACTAAACCCTTTCGCATTTCAGATAATCGGTTATTTCTATGAAACGGTAGAACCCTATATCAACCTAATGTCTTTTTTTCCCCCTCAGGCGGCCATCTATAAGGTTCGAAATATCGGCGGTGGTCTGCAGAGTACCTTCGTCTGCTCTGGCGTCCTCGTCGACAAAGCCTTCGTCATAACGCCCGCGCACTGTGTTGTGGGTCCTACCACGGACTTCACGGTGAGTGCAGGTCGTGGGGTCAAGAATTTTCAAAGGGGAAGTTAAACGAACAGGAATTGAATCGCTTGATAAATATGGCTTAACCACTACGTTTGTTGATTATACCGGTAAAGCTTTTTAACTCGACGTCTGAGGAAAGCATCTCACCCCACCCTTTTTTTAATTAAGGGAATATTCTTCCACTTCCTCAGGTGGTTTTTGGGGAGTACACTCTCGGGGGCGGAGGCAGCATTTTGGAGAGGCAGGTGACGGGCGTGAGCGACATCCTCGTCTATCCAGGTAAACGGAATTCGTCTTCCAAGATAGGTTTTTCCTCGCTTTCCATTATTTTTGCTCTGCGCACAATTTGATACATATCAGGGTCTGCATTTAGAACTTTTAGGTATTAATACATTAAATTCAAGTGTCTAGTACTTTTAACCATAATTACTTTTCCCTAATTTAGGTAATAATACATTAAATTCAAGTGTCTACTCGTATTTTTAACCATAATTACTTTTCCCTAAAGGCTACGAGTCGACAAACCCGCTGGTCCACGACGTCGCCCTGGTGCAGCTGGACCGAGCCATCGCCTTCGACAACTTCCCTCAGATCGGCTTGGCTTGCCTGCCTTATCCGGACATCCTGTACCGGAATACGGGCGCTTGGGACTGTTTCACTGTCGGATGGAATGGCAAAGCAGGGGTAAGTTCCGGGTTTTAATCGCATCAAAAGTTTTGTTACATTTAAACGTAAAAGGGAGTTAAAAATAACTTCTATATAACAAAATGGCGGCAGTTTTTCATTTAACTGCCAGTACTTCACAATTTCTTTAGGGGATTTGTCACAATTGATGCAAATTGAATATAAACGGTTTAAAAGTAGCTTAAATTGGGGTCGGGGGGGGGGGGAGGCAGTCTTGTTTATGATTGATAATCAGGTTATTTGAACAATCGGTCGTTAAAACAGTGATATAAACCACTCGATTACTTGCCTACCTACACCAGATATCCAGGTACACTTGCCTACCTACACCAGATATCCAGGTACACTTGCAAAGGGTCTTAGAACGCCTCATTAATGTTTTCTTATTTGTGGAGAGGGAGGGGGGGGGCTCAAGACCCGTTTTAAATGTGAAATTACGGCCTTGGGTGATAGACGACCATGGCATCCAGTAGACCATATAAAGCTAGAAAAGTTAATAAGCACACCCCCATGTAGTCTTTACTCATAGATTGCAAAACAAAAGCATAGTTAAAACTGATTTTTAAAAATCAGTACGAACATTAAATCGCGTGAACATAATAAAATCACGTTGAATCACAGATGCCGTGGGGATGTGACCTCCGCCCATATGCTAACCCAGCGCCTCGTTTTCAGGCTCTCCAGCGCGTAGAATCGAACCTTTTGTCGAAGCGGGACTGCCGTGTCTACACTCGCGCCTACCACGAGTTCCACGCCTACATGCGACAGAGTCCCTACGGCTACGGGACTTCAGGCTACGACAAGGCGCACGGCTACCACGCTGCTACGTATCAGAAACACCACTACTACAGGTAAGGCTCTAAAAGACGCGTAGTTTAGCGAGGGGATGTGTAGTTTATCATGCTTGCTAACGACTATATAAATAGTGATTAATCAAGAAATTATAGCATTATCATAAAATAGGAAAAGGGCGATTCTAAAAAAAAAAAAAAAAAAAAAAAAAAAAAAAAAAAATGAATATTAAAAACTTGCTTCCTTGTATATTTCAAGATGGTTTTCCACTTATTTTCCAGTCAAAGCATTCCTGACCTCCTTTGTACAGAGTCTTTCGAAACCAAGGCCTGTGTGGTAAGTATTTTTTTCAAAGAAAGCGTGAATATGTAAGGCAGTTGAATCTATAAATCAAATCTTTGTATATACATTTTTTGTATATTCATGCAACACCTTGCTATTTCTGATTTTGAAATTAATACCGCGCTAGTGTAAAGCAATCCCCTTTTGTAATTCTTTTTAATCAATTGTGATCAGTTTATATATGTAAATTAATGGGATTGCCATAAGTACGAAGAAGGAATCCTTCGTTTTGCTTACCGCAGCGAGTACTTTCGTAACGTATTTTTCCTCGTAGGACGACCCCGCAGCCGTGCTAGTGTGCCGCCACGCCGCTCTACACGCAGACACCTTCTTCGGCTTCGGCAACCGCGGCTACCGCTACCACGCCCACCGCGGCCACAAGAGGACGAACGCGCGGATCGTCAACGCCTACGGGAAGCACAGGTTCGACAGCGAGAAGTGGTACGTCATGGGCCTCTCCCACAGCCTCTCCCCCTGTTCCGGGAAGGGCCAGGGGAGCTACAGGAAGGGATATGGATCCCAGAGGAAGGACATCAGCGTGTTCACTCCCGTGCACGAGTACCTCCCCTTCATACACGCGCACCTGGATGTCAAGCAGACGGCAGCGCCAACGACGTGAGGCGGCGAAACGCGCGGTAGGGACGTCGAGGCTATGCCGTTTCCCCCACACGGTTTATTTACGAACGAAATCTTTTTATTAACTTTCCCAATAATCGCATAAACTGTATCTAAACTGAATTACCAATAAATTATCATTATTTTTTACTCCTTGATTTCCTAGCAAATATTCCTTACTCCTTAATTTCCACTTGCAAATATTCCTATTACCTTTTAATAAAAAAATGAAGCTTGGTAACATCATGAATTAGAAATGGACTACATTGGCATGTTACTCTGAAAGACTAATTTCTTCAAAATGGAAATCTGTTTGAAGCTCACGTACAAATAATACATTTTGCAACTACTGGCCTTGAATGTACATAATCGATGGCGTGTTGATTAATTAATAAATAAAAAAAGCATTACTGGTGTAACCCTTGAATAAAAGGTTACTGCATTCTTTAGAACTGCATAAAATACATGCATATATAAAAGGATGCCGCTCGTGTTGCTTAGAAATGTCCTCAAACGTTTGAAATTAGATAATAAATTTAGAAAATGAAGGAACCAAATTTGAAATACAAAGAAAAATAGAGCGTATAGCATGAAATAGAAAATTGGACATTCTACTAGCGAAAAAAATATTGCAAACGAAACCAGTATCGTACAATATCCACATTGTAGTTTTACATATGTATATATAATAATCTTAAAAATAAATTAATTCGACATATTGAATATAATCAGGTGCTGGAAGTACATCTTTTTAACGACAGAAACGGTGGAATGAAGCACTTGTCAATAAATTTTGGGGACAATGTTGCAAAACCAGAGAACCACAAACGTTTAGGAAAAAAAGATAATCTAAAAATCCGAATACCAGTTTGGATTTCTAAAGAAAATTCACACACCCTAAGTGACATGAATATAATGAACAGCATACACTATTCAAATTAGGAAAGACCACGAAACCTTATTAACATTTTGTCATAAACAAAAATTGAAGGAGCAACATTACCAGAACAGGAAAATAATAACAAAAGGAATAAGAACCATAAAAGTATTCAAAAGTGCTGTTGGCAGAGTTATTTGGAGGGCCATCCACCATAGCTGATATTACCGGCCAATTCGTCAGCTGTACAGCGCCATTACAACCAGAATCAACGACACCAGTACCCACCCTCTAGCAGACGGGGTCACAGTCGTTACATGTGAACAAGGTCAACAAAACAGGGACAACGTCGATGCCCCTTTGTGAAGAAGCAAAAAGAAGGAGAAGGAGAAGAAAGGCACAGATCGGCAGAGAGATGAAGGCCGTATAAGGAGAGGCGAGGATGATGGCGGGACGGTAGGCGAGAGGCCCCTGCTATACCACCTCCTTTATAATTTCGCCTCTTGTATTAAACTGGAATAAAACCAGATTATTGAATTTCGACCGCGGTCATAACTGTCTCGGGCTTATTGAAAGAGATGGAAATGGTGAGTTAAGGAGAGAAGACAAGACAAGAGAGAAGAGAAAAGGGAAAATGATGAGTAATGGCTGGGTACGTGGGAAAGAAGGGTTGATCTGAATGAGTAATGATGAGAATTTGCGAAACGTGAGTAAAAGCGATCGGAGGCACGGTTTGCATAATATATTAATCCCTTTCGCAAAAAATGGGTAAAAAAGAGAGAGAGAGAGAGAGAGAGAGAGAGAGAGAGAGAGAGAGAGAGAGAGAGAGAGAGAGAGAGAGAGAGAGAGAGAGAGAAGAGAGAGAGAGAGAGAGAGAGAGAGAGAGAGAGAGAGAGAGAGAGAGAGAGAGAGAGAGAGAGAGGAGAGAGGGAGAGAGGGAGAGGGAGAGATGGGGCAGAGAGCGAGAGGGGAGGAAGAAAGAGATGGGGAGGGAGAGGCTGAGTAATATTGACGTATCTGATAAGCGCGTAATCCGGATCGTATGACCCCAGGCTCACGCTAGGTAGGCAGCCGCTTTACCCCGTTCGCTCTACGTTTTTCCTGGTCTATAATCATGCTGTTTCATTCAGTATGCGTGCCCCTCATTATCTATCTAATGCCCCGTGTTTGGTTAGGGTAACGTGGGTATGGGAAGCGTGTGAGAACTTAAATTGTGTTATATTTGATTTGATATATGTGTCCGAGGCGAAATGTGTGGCTAGACTGTATACAAATGCCCTGAAAAAGCTGCAAAAACTTAACGACTAAATTTGCGAAAGATATCCATATTCTAGCACTGACCCTTTCAATCTGGATAACAAATACAATTTGCATTTTTAGCGACTATTTTACGAAAAAACAACAAACTGAATAACAAAACCAACCTGGAACCTATAAATTCACACCAGCAGATGCGAAACGGAACTTAGATATACTGCACATAGATATTATACACTGATATGCTAAGAGGTGGAAAAGTTGTAATCCACCAGAAAACTGTGAAAGAGGTGGAAAAGTTGTGATCCACCAGAACTGGACATGGGCACTGTCTACAACTCCTCCTCCGGTCGTGTGGCCCAGACTCAAGGCCACTTCAAGCCACTTAGGAGTATGACGGGCAGGACAGGACGGGGTCCTTCCTTTCCTGACAGCGACATATGTCTCCCTCGAGGAAGATAATATATATATAATATATATATATATATATATAATATATATATATATATATATATTATATATATAATATATATATATATATATATATATATATATATATATATATTGATCTAACTAGAAAACTACCCAGGTAATGTGATATTTCAGAATTTATTTCGTGTTACTGGAAACGTGCACATAGCATATCATATATCTATGTGCAGTATATCTATGTGCACACGTATAATATATATATATATATATATAATATATATATATATATATATATATATATATATATATATATATATATATATATATATATATATATATATATATATATATATATATATTTTCCTCGCCATCTTCCTCGAGGGAGACATGTCATGTCGCTGTCAGGGAAGGAAGGACCCCGTCCTGTCCTGCCCGTCATACTCCTAAGTGGCTGGAAGTGGCCTTGAGACTGGGGCCACACGGGGGACCTCCTCGCGACCGAAAACGACCGAGGAAGAGGGTTATCTGATTATCCTGACCTTGACCTGGCCAGCAGGACCTGGGCGACACCGTGGGATCGGCGGGTTTGTTTTTCTCCTTTTTTGGGGGATATTTTTTTTTTCATCCTCGCTGTTTGTTGTCTCTCTCTCTCTCTCTCTCTCCTTTCGCCCTCTCTTTTTTTTCACCCGCTCAGCTGTGCCGGGATTGGAGTCGCTGTCGCTGTCAGGGAAGGAGGACCCCGTCCTGTCCTGCCCGTCATACTCCTAAGTGGCTGGAAGTGGGCCTTGAGACTGGGGCCACACGGGGGACCTCCTCGCGACCGAAAACGACCGAGGAAGAGGGTTATCTGATTATCCTGACCTTGACCTGGCCAGCAGGGATCGTGGGATCGGCGGGTTTGTTTTTCTCCTTTTTGAGGGATATTTTTCTTTCATCCTCGCTGTTTGTGTGTCTCTCTCTCTCCTCCCTTCGCCCTCTCTTTTTTCACTCGCTCATCCCTCGTCTCCACTCCCACTGGTTCCTTAGGGGTGTGGGAGGAAATGTCGATTTCGATTTTAATCGTACATTTAGGGATTTTAGCTTTATTACTTGCGCATTTAGGACATTTAGCCTTGTTATAACTTGCGCATTTATTGTTATACTGTTGCAACATATCACCGTATATCCAGATGAGCATGCCTGCTATCAGCCCTGCGGGCACGGGGTAGAAACAGCACATCCCGTCCTCCAGCCGAAAGGTCATTTTACGCACATCCTCTTAATTGACGTGGTCGAACCACTTGTTCATACTTGTCGCACCAAGGAAGAATCTCCATAGAAAAGCCCAGGTCCTGCTGGCCAGGTCAAGGTCAGGATAATCAGATAACCCTCTTCCTCGGTCGTTTTCGGTCGCGAGGAGGTCCCCCGTGTGGCCCCAGTCTCAAGGCCACTTCCAGCCACTTAGGAGTATGACGGGCAGGACAGGACGGGGTCCTTCCTTCCCTGACAGCGACAGCGACTCCAATCCCGGCACAGAAAACGACCGAGGAAGAGGGTTATCTGATTATCCTGACCTTGACCTGGCCAGCAGGGATCGTGGGATCGGCGGGTTTGTTTTTCTCCTCCTTTTGAGGGATATTTTTCTTTCATCCTCGCTGTTTGTGTGTCTCTCTCTCTCCTCCCCTTCGCCCTCTCTTTTTTCACTCGCTCATCCCTCGTCTCCACTCCCACTGGTTCCTTAGGGGTGTGGGAGGAAATGTCGATTTCGATTTTAATCGTACATTTAGGGATTTTAGCTTTATTACTTGCGCATTTAGGACATTTAGCCTTGTTATAACTTGCGCATTTATTGTTATACTGTTGCAACATATCACCGTATATCCAGATGAGCATGCCTGCTATCAGCCCTGCGGGCACGGGGTAGAAACAGCACATCCCGTCCTCCAGCCGATAGGTCATTTTACGCACATCCTCTTAATTGACGTGGTCGAACCACTTGTTCATACTTGTCGCACCAAGGAAGAATCTCCATAGAAAAGCCAAGCAAAGAGGAATCACTTTTGAAAATTTTTATGTCGAATCATGCTAAATTACGGGATTTAATTTCCTAGATACGGGGTGCCCTGGCTTCAAGAGTCTTGAGTCACTGTTTATCCCCGCGAAGGCAAGAGGATCCGAAAAAATAAAAAATGTCTTTCATCTTTTATCATCTAGAAAGAGGCTATTTTTGTTATTTTTCGGATCCTCTTGCCTTCGTCTTGTCTTTCATCTTTTTATCATCTAGAAAGAGGCTAAGACGAATAAGGCGATAGCAATGTCCGCGTATGATAGCGGTAATAAATTAGTGACGATGATAAAGTTTGTGACGAGGAGCCCTCATGTCAGGCCTGGCAGCTTGACATGAGGGATCCTCGTAGGTGGAAAGAAAGGGTGGATGCGGCTATACGCCCCAATGCATAAAAAAAAAAAAAAAAAAAAAAGATCCACTGTCTCAGCACGGGCGGCTGCGCGGCGGTCACAGTCCTCAGTCTTTGCTTGCCAGTCCGTCAAAAAGGACTGAGGATGAGCGGGGGACACATGGCCTAAGTGGGTGACCATACAGGAT